AGAAGATTTGATTTCTTTTGTCTTGGGATAAACAACGTATTCATTATAAATGTGTGATGCATAAAACAGAGTTTCCGACTGTTTCTGCTGATGAAGCAGGGCGGAGCAGACAGGAAGTTCATGTCAGATGGAGTCGATGCTGCTTTGATAATCAAATATTTGAGTGTGAATTATTTTTCAGGGGGGGGGGTTTAGGTTTTTAACTCATCTCAGTGACCTCGTGTTATTTTGAGCTGCAGGTTTGATACTAAAAGTGTAAAAGCATCGATAGCAACAAAAGAAAGTGCAGGATGAAAATGCAGCACTGGAACAGAAGAACTGTTTGACTCATTTGATTATTTAGCGCCGCGCAGTAAATCAGAGCCTGACTGACGCCGGCTCGGTGGACCAACCTTCATGTCGTCACTGGGCGGTAACGAGGTTCCTGTAATGTTCTGCTTCAGGAGCTCCCTGAGCTGCCTGGTGCTGCTCTCCACCTCCTTCAGAGTAGATTCACGCTTCAGGGCTTTCTCTGCCTTTTCCTGTTCCTACAACACACACACACACACACAATTATAATCAACACACACAATTATTACAGCAAACATGTCCGTCGGCACGGCAGCTCCTCACCTCCTTTATGGTGCTTTTAATGAGTCTGTTTGCAGTTTCCAGGTCTTCAGGACGAGCACTTTTCAGTAATCTGGCTAAGAGCTGATGACACAGACACACACGTGATGAAACTTTACATGAGCAGACGTCTCACACACACACACACATACGCACACACACGCACACACACCTTGGCCTTGTCCTCCTGGTCGAAAACAGACTCTGTGGATCTTTGTGGTGGAGGAGCCATGATCAGTGTGTCTGGTAGTTTGGGATCTTCCTTCACGATACCTGAAACAACAAAAGAAAGTTAAGATGGTTTTAGAAAAGGGACAAAACCCTCAATGTGTATAAAAAATTCTCATGCGCAGATTTTGAAAAGGTGTTTCTGTCTCTGACCTTGTGTCTTCAGCATGTTGTACGCTTCCTGAATCTTAGGTTCGTCTTTGAGCCACAGCGTCCAGCCGTAGAGAACCTCCGTCACTCGGTCTTTTACTTTCTGAGGAGTCCACGCACCAAAGTACTGCTCGGACGAGATCATCGGGTCAGTCACACCCGTGTTATTCCTCAGAAAGACGTTTTCAAACATGAAAGCTGATACCACCACGTCTGTTAAAGGCTCACATCGGCCGATTATTATGGATTAATTGTTCGGGGTCTAATTCTCTGTGTGACGCACTTTGTAACTTTAATACAATGATTGATTATAATATGATAAAACAGAGATTTCAGTTCATGTGTGTAATGTGTGTTTTGGGCCCTGGTGTTGATATTAATATCCAAACTTCCCTTTTTTAAAACATTGTCAGATAAATTCACAAAATCAAGACGATAAATCCTTTAATTTTAACTTGAACTGCAAAGAGACTGTTTGGATTAAATTAGGAACAACTTAAAAAAATCCACATATTACATGTTTCCTTTTGCTTCCAGCTGCTCAGAACATCTGTCTCTCAGTGACTAACGGTACCTTTGGGGTTAGGACTTTGATGAGCTCATTGAGAAACCGAAACTTGGCCGCCTCGCTGTGGAACCTCTTCCCACAATTGTTCATGCACGCCTCAAGAACCTGGCAAACAGAACAGATCACCAGCTTTAACAAGGGGAGGAAATAAACAAAAACACGAAGAGCAAGAGAGAGAGAACGGATTCTGTGGCTGCACGAGTGTGGTTCTCCACCTCTGAACATCACATGACGCGAGGCACATGAACATCAAGACGCTTCTTCTGAGGGGCGTTTCTGAGTGTAACACTGCAGCTCTCTTCAATGCACAGAAAACGAGGTGTCACGGCAGATTTAAATGCAGATAAAAACTCCTCATGTCTCCATGTGACAACGGTTGGTCACAGACGCACTCACACGATCTCTTTCTACCGGAGCTCAAACAAAGACATTGTTTGGTTTTTTTTCGCGGTGAATCTGAGTCGTGACAAAGAGCACGAAATAATAACTGTCGTAAACTGTGAAGCTGACAAAGGACGATAAGATTAGATAACAGATAAAAATACACAGAGTACTGTAGATCACAGGTATTTCAGGGTGATTACTTACAGTGAGCGCCTGCAGAGCCTCTCTCTCCTGTGGGGACTGGATCTTATGAGCGAGAAGACTGATGGCTACCTGAGGCCTGGAAATCAAATTAAAAAATCCCGTTAAAATGTCTGAAAACGTCTTAAACCTGAGATGATTTTATGTCAACAGCAAAAGACGAACTTTTCACAAGCCGGAGCAAAGAGAGTAAGTAATTTTAGACAATGTGAAGCTTTACTGAGCAGAGGAAATGGGTCAAAGGGGTAAAAGGTGCTGGAGTCTCCCCTGACTGTTGCACAATGTTGTCACTGAGAAGCTGTGGATGTGAAGCAACTCTTTCTCAAACACCACACTTGTGCAAATGAGAGTTAGAGGAGCAAGCTGCTGCTGAAACTTTCATTCACAATCAAAATCTATGTGGAAACACATGCAGGACTGCGTGAGTGAAAATAAAGACACATCTGGTTTTTAGTGGGTGTTAACACCAGGTCTGAAGTTCAGGCAGGGATACACTGACAGAGTTTCTTCAAGTTTCAACAAGTTAAATTTACGACTGAATCGAATTTAAGATCTATGTCGTCAGATATGAAGGAACATCAAGGTCCCAGAATCACTCACACTTCCCTTTAATCAAAGAGAAGGTGAAACAGCAGAGCAGAGACGCAACGCAATCTCAAAAACTACAGGCAGAGACAGATCCCAAACATTTCTCTTTGAAATAAAAAAAGTTTTTAGGCACAGTTAAAGTAGTGTTGAATGAATGTCAACATAATTAAGAACTACCTAAACATTTTTATCTACTAGTATGAAATATTTTAACATATTTAAAACTTTCTAAGGCCTCAAACTCTGATGATTGAATTTTTAGACGCTGCAGAAACTCTGACTGAGCTCTGATCGCTCGACGTGTTCCGAGAAGCACGAGGACACATTCTTTCATCGGTGTGAACGCAACAGTGTCCTGGGTCAAGTATGAGGGACGTCCTGCTCAACGTCTCAGACCCACTTCTTCCCATACATTGGTTTATTCATGTGACACAGAATCAAACTGACCAACACGCATTGATTTTCATTTCAACTAATTTCATAGTAAAGCACTGCTCACTGTCTCTATTTCTACACACACACACACACACACAGAGTCATCCCATCTGTAAACATGTTAGAACCAGGTCTGAACTGTGTCTGATGTCTTCTTACCCATCAGCCTCCTGGTTGACGAGCTGGTAGAAGCCCTGGATGCAGTCCCACCTGTCCCCCTGGTTTTCCTGGTCTGTGGCCTGGTCTGGAACAAACAGGTCCACAGAAGAATCTCGTGTCAAACTCAAGATCAGACAGAACCAAACAGAACCTCGAGTGAGATTAAAGACAAACTAAAAACAAACATGGCAAATGGGTCAACTGTGTATTTTGAGAGATACATCGTGTTTTTCTACTCAAGTTAAAAAAGTACAAACTTCTTCGATTCATCATTTTTGAAATATATCTGCCATCGTGAACGCGCCCTGCAGGAGCGCAGACGCAGCACACGGCTCGGGCACGCGCGCGGGTAAAAAAAAAAAAAGAAGCAAACTTCCTGTTCCAGTTTAAACTTTTTTGCATCAAGTGAAAATGATTTTTTAAAACTTTATCCGCACGTGCGTGATAAAGTCGTCAAAGACAACGTGAAGCTCCTCGTTATAACGTCACTCTGACCGGTGGACGTCCGGATGATCACGTGTCGCTAAAAGGTTAAAAATCATCATAAACAACACGTGAACTTTTCTCAGGTTCCAGTTTCACTCACTGAGAAAAGAGTCCAAAGTTTCTGATCCGGCTCCGGTCGCCATCACCGTCCCGTCCCGAGCTGCTCCGCCGCTCACACTGCGTCTCTCCGGGAAGCGGAGGTGTCAAACTGCCGCTGTCACTGCGGAGACATGTGACACTCACGCCCCGTCACACTCCTGACACGACAACACAACCCCCAACAGCCACAGACACACTACATCTACAATATATATATCAACACAACCCCCAACACCCACAGACACACTAATACTACAATATATATATATCAACACAACCCCCAACATCCACAGACACACTAATACTACAATATATATATCAACACAACCCCCAACAGCCACAGACACACTACATCCACAATATATATATCAACACAACCCCCAACATCCACAGACACACTAATACTACAATATCAATATCAACTCACCAGTGAGCTCCTTCTAAAAGTTGATATGCGTTTCTAATTAAATTAAATTATTTATTTTTTTATACTGTCAAATTCTATTCTCATATTGAAGTTGACTGTTGACTATGATTTGTTAACAGGGTTGGTCGGTGGCTTCACTTTTCTTATGAAGCGTCGTAGAAGTGATAAAGAAAAGTTAAAACAATTGCTGAGATTAATAGGTAGCCCTTCCTATGACTCAGTAACAATGAAGTAGCTCTCAGTTTCAAAAAGGTTGGTGACCTCTGATATACATCAACACAACCCCCAACAGCCACTCTGCATCTACTCTCTCTCTGTCTGTCGTTTTGTTTCTTGTGTGTGTCTGTACTGCAGCTTTGCCTCTCTCTCCACAGTCATCGTGCTTCTTTGTGGTTGTTTCTTGTCTCTTTGAGGCCGCTTTGCATCTCTCCTCATGGAAATGTTTGATTAAGCCGTCTTTGCATCTCTCTCTCTCTCTTTTTATGATCATTTTGTTTCTTGTGTGTCTTTACTGCAGCTTTGCATCTCTCTCCATTATCATTTTGTTTCTACTTGGTGGTTTTGTGTCTCGTGGTAATTATTAGACTCTTCAGGATCATTCTGTTTTTCTCCGTGTTCACGTCCTTCTGGATGTTTTGTGTCTTTACTGCCAGTTTGCATCACGTTTTTTTGTGTCTCTGGTCGTCTTGTGTCTAACTGAGGTAGTTTTGTGTATCTTGTTCTGCATCTTGTTGTATGGGTTTCTTTGTAATAATTTTGCGTCTCTAAATTGTGGCTATATTCTTGTTGTGTACTTGCTTCTGTGAGGGGAGGACCGTGGTTTCAGGAAAACCACAAGGTTTGAAGAGTCCGACGAAAATCCTATGAATACCATCAGCAGACGATTCGCAAAGACAAGTATTGACCTGCCTCACGACAAGAAAATGAGTCAATACATCTGTAAACTGGAGTCCGTTAAGAATATTACACCGCAAGATGATTTGCATACAAAAACACCGAGGTACTTCCCATCCCAGAGTGACTGGTGTCACCTGGACCTGTTAGAAGTTTCCCAGCAGCCAAGAAAACAAACAGACTGAGTGTTTAATATCAGTTTTCAACTCTTTTATAAAATATTTATAATAATTCAAGTATTTTTTTTTCACTGATTCCAGCTGGGTGCAGTTCATTTTGAATGGGGCTTTGGTGGAATCAGTGTGAGGTTTAAACAGAAGTTCTTATCATCTGGTTCACGTCGGGCCGTGAGGTGACAGCTGTGCAGTCTTTTAACTCGTCTCTGAAAGCAGCAGCAGTTTCTGGAAGCGATGGCTGATCTCCGCAGGCCCCAAAGACACCATCATCTCCGCCACGCTGGGACCTTGCTGCAGGACAGAGGGGAACCGGAGATCGGGAGTCAGTGAAGTAACGCACGCCACGACAGGCCGCGACGCAACAGACTGTAACGTCTATGAAACGCAATCACAAACTACTTCCTCTTTCCACAGTGCTGCAGAGTTACTGTGGTGACCGAGGCACTGGAGTCGTTACTAACATTTTAAAGATAGATAAGAGATTAGAGGTAGAGATTAAACTTCTCAGGTCATGGGTGCACATAAAATGGGACATGTGTAATTTTAAAAGTCCAGCAGAAACTTACAAAAGAAAAAAAAAAAGTCAGTTGGTTGAGTTTGAAAAATTCAAATGAAAAGCAGAAATGAAAGTTTCCAAGTGAGCTGTAAAAATAATGAGAGGATGTTATTAGTTCCTCTGACACGAATCAAAAAGTGCAGGTGTGTAAGATTTAGTTTCATCTAAGTTATTAATTGTGGTTTTCTTCACGGTAGAATGGATCTTTATATTTAAAAACTTTATATTTACATGGGGGGGGGGTCCTTTCTGTTGAGGCAGCCATGTTTTTTTTACATTAGTCCAGACTGGACAAACTAAAACTTTTTTAAGTTTTTATGACAACTGAAGTTCACCACAGGTTATCTTTCATGTTGGGAAGGGGAGGGGGAGATGAAGGATTCCAGCTGCAATGAGCATCTTCACCTCTAGATGTCACTAAATTCTACACACTGTACCTTTAAGTCAGATAAACGAGAACTAAGCAAACGTGAGAAAAACAAACATGGTAATCTTGCTTTGGTTTGTTTGTTCAGGAGAACGTTAGTAAATCTCAGTGAGACACAGAGGCGGAAACTTTTTTTGTGGTGTGATTTCACTTTTGGTCGTGAAAATGGTTTTGGATTAGACAGTCCATTTATTTATATGAAAGACAAATCCCATGAAAAAAAAAAAGAAACGTCTAAAAAAACCTAAACCAGATGTCACCAAAAATCTTGATTACTATCAGTATGAGAATGATTCCTCAGGTACCTGCAGTCCGCTGAGAGCCAGACGTAGCAGCTTCATCACTTCTCTGTACTTTGTGGCTTTGGTCTGTTTGGACAAACGCTTCAGATCGGTGCTGAGCTGATCCAGAGTCAGCTGCTGCCCTCGCTCTTCTATTAATCTGAAAGCACAGACACAAGTCAACGTTCACAATCCGGCTCAAACACTGTCGTTACAGAAGAATAGTGAAGCACGGTCATGAGCTGATGATGGCGCGTACTTCAGCATTAACAAGGCGATGTGCGGAGCTTCTGCTGTGAGTGCTGCGACCTGCTGGCTGGTGAAGGAAGGACGAACCCACAGGTACGAATAATTAGGACTTACAAGCTCCTTCAGGGAGGTTATGTGACCCTGCAGAGGAGGGAGAGAATAGTTTCAGTATTACAGGACAGACAGACGGACGAGGGGACAGTACTGAGGACAGAAAATATGGAGGGAAACACAGAAGATGTTCTGCAAATTCAGACTATTTGAAATAAACATTTATTAACAACAACATATAAAATGTCCAGAGCAGCAACTTGCTGACTTTTATATGTCACTAAAAACTTTTATGACCAGAGGATTTGAAGTCATTCCTCTTCAGGTTACCTTACGGAGATGCAGCACCCGCCTGATATAATCCTCATGCAGGACTTCCTCCTCCTGGATCTCTGCCCTGTGCGCCTCCCGGACTTGCCGCTGCAGATCTTCTATCAGGAACACGCACTGATCCTCGTCTTCAATACGCTGCTGCAAGTGGATTCTGTCGCAATTGGAGACATCGCTGATGTGAATTAAAACTCATCTGTCACAGAAAAACCATCTTAAAAGGCATTAGACAGATATATAGATTTAAAACAGACAAGAATACGTGGAGGGACAGACGGTTTCTGACTTGCCTGTTGAACTCTGGTAGATTGTCCAGGTCTAACAAAGCAGAATGAGTTGTGATCTTTGAGGGATTAAACTGGGAGATCAGCTCGTCTATCCTCCTCCCCATTTGATTGGCTGAAAGGAAATATGACAACTTTAAATGCACGCAAATCTGATGACAGCAAAACGTGCAGAGCTGATTTCAGAAGATCTCCAGGTGAAACCTTGAATGCAGTTTAAGCGACTATATATATATATTATCTATGTTTTAACTTTCCCTCTCTGATAACTTCCTCGTCACTCACTGTTGAATCCGGAGCCACAGTTGGTGGTGATATCCAGCAGAGCTTCTGGCAGGACCCCGTCCCTCTGGAAGCTCTGGATGAATATGTCCCCCTGCCTCTTGGACAGTTTGCTACCGTCTTTGTTCATCAGGAGCGGCAGATGTCCAAAGGTGGGAGGTTTCCATCCAAGAGCTCGGTACATGAGGAGATGTTTGGAGGTGGAGATGAGCCACTCGGAGCCTCGCAGAACGTGGCTGATTTTCATGTGATGATCATCTACTATGTTCGCCAGGTGATAGGTGGGGAAACCGTCTGCTTTCATCACCACAGGGTCCCCCTCCACCTGCGACAGAGGACAGAGGGTTAGCAGACGCACTTTTTGAGTTTCATCTTTTTCTAGAACAGAAAAAGCCATGATTGCAATATCACAATAAAATTAAATGAGTAATTTTAAAAGGCAAAAATACATTTAAAACACTCTGCAGTTATCTGAGAAACTAGGGAATCAATAGTCTTTTCTACTAACCTGATGGGAGACGCTACCCTACATCAGTAAGTGTGACTGCCACTAAATTAAAGAGACAATACACATTTAGAAGCTGCATAATCAAAACTGTGCTATCACCAGAAACCTGACCTGAGCCACTTCGTGACGATTCCATCCAAAGACCAGATCCTGAAAAGACTCGACGCCGGCTTCCAGACGAAACCTGATCACATGTGATGTTCCCTGATCCAGCTTCTCCTGGACCTGGTCGGCCCGAAGGTGACGACACCTGTTGTCATACCTGCATAGAACAGAATGAAGATCTTAAAGCAACACTATATAAGTTTCACTGAGCACGAGCGCCCCCTGCAGCCACACAGGGCGATTCATTCAGATGGAATTAGTCACCGTGGAGTCTGTCCACTCCTCAAAGCCTCTTTTCTCAGTAGCTCCAGTCTCTGCGGGCTGCAGAAGCAGTAGTAGGCGTGACCGCTCCGGACGAGCTGCTGGGCCGTTTGACTGTACAGGTCTAATCTGTGAGACTGCAGATATGGACCGAGCGGCCCGCCTCGACGAGGACTCTCATCTGGAGGAACACCTGGCAGACGTGGACACGGTGACACGCGAAATGAATAAACCTTTCTAACACTGATGATCCTCACAGTGATAAACTATCTGCTAATAAACTTTATAGCGATGATTCTTAATCACAGTGTCTCCTACCAGCCCACTCCAGCATGTCCTCTATGGATTCAGCTGCTCCCGGGACCAGTCGGCTCTGATCCGTGTCCTCCAGTCGCAGAATGAACGCACCTGCGTACTTCTTTGCAAAGATGTAGTTGTAGAGAGCAGTGCGGAGGCCTCCGAGGTGTAAGAAGCCTGCAGCACAGAGCATCATGGTCATTGGAACATC